AGAACATGGCCCTATAGCCCGAAAAAACCCACAAGAACCTAGTGATTCCAGCCATGAAAGCCTTTGACAGTATATTGATGCATTGCTGGGGGAATCCTTTGTTGGGAGGTGATTAGCTGGCCCTGATTGTTTCTTGTCTGCCATTAAATGCTAATCAAGGTGGCCAACTGCAACACTCACACCTACCTCAAACAGGCAAGAGTTCTTTCTCCCACACTGGACACTCCACAGACATATCAACCCTACTTGCCTAGTTTCCACCACACCTCACAACCTCTGAGGTTGCCTGCCATAGATGCCGGCAAAACGAAAGTTGCATTATTCTGCAGAATGGGGTTGGACTGGATGGCCCACGAGGTCTCTTCCAACTCTGTGATTCTATGGTCTGTGTCTCTAAACGAGTCTTGCTTTTTAAAACGGGCAACTTTATTGAAAAGTCAGTTCAAAGCCCGGGTCAGGGTGAGCACACGACTTTTAATCCAGCTTACTGTCCACCTAAGCAGTTTGAAAACAGCTATGAGTAGAGAAATTAGGTACAGGGAGGTATTTTACGGCATCATAAAGGAAATACCAAAAAAATGCCAGCGATGAAAAGAAGGAGGAAGTCTGTGATTAAGGCTCATTTTCGTAGAGGATGAAGCAACAGCACCCTCTTTGGCCGGAATTGAGCACAACCTCCAGGACACCGAAATTGGGGGAAATGCTGATGTGTACGTCTATCTGTTGTCTGTCCTGTCTGTTTGCTGTGTATATGTTCTATGATCCGCCCTGAGTCTCCTTTAGGGTGAGAAGGGCGGAATATAAATGCTGTAAATAAATAAATAAAATATAGACAACGAAATGCAATCATTGCCAGGACTAAAGTTTTGCCACAAGATGGCAAAACTTTAAGGCTTTGTATTTTGAAATCTTTGCATTGAGTGACAACTACCTTTGTTACATGTGTCGAAATTAATCTTGCTGCTTTTTTTATTGTGTAAACCAACTTGAGAACATACTGCAAGTTGGGTTGTTGTAGGTTTTTTGGGTTATATGGCCATGTTCTAGAAGCATTCTCTCCTGATGTTTCGCCTGCATCCATGGCAAGCATCCTCTGAGGATTGTTGTAGGTTTGTTGTAGGTTTTTGGGGCTATAT